TAACAATATTGATGACCTAGATTGAACGATGGACAAATAATTTATCGTTAGTGAACAATATTTTTATTGAATTTATCTTATTACTTTTAAATGTTACTGATCAGTTATCTTATTTTATCTTAATTGGAAATTTAGAATTTTGCTGTAATATGTTAAAATGCCAGGACAAGATGAACTTATCACTGATTAGGCATCATTTAAATATTTAACCAACAGTGTTATGACAAATTTGAAACTAATATTTCTTAGTAAGTTTATAATTATTTTATTAATGATATATTAATAATACTATATTAGTTTCATAGATACAGAGAAAGCAAATAAATCTTTTTTTTGGGTTTTATGAACATTTAGCATTTGATGCAACTTTTAGGAATTTGAACTTAATATTGGTACACAGTAAGTATTACTCGTATATTAGATTTGCATAATTTACTTTTATTCTACATTTTCAGGTTGTTATTTTAATTTTATATATTATCTATAATTTCGTTAAAGTTTAGATTGTATATACACATAAATGATTCTATGACAGTTTAAGATTTGTATATCTATGTTTTTAATTAAAAGATTATACATATCTTTTAGACTGTATTTGTATTTTTTATAAATAAATTTGATTCACTAATTTATAACATGCACAATGGTTTAATAGTTGAATTCAACGCATCATTCATTTGTAGATTTGTTTTATGGTATATATGTTACAGCTAAAGTGTTGAATTCCGTTATTTTATGAAATAACTAGACAGCTCATGAATTACCTATGAATGCTAGTTAAAGTATGAAATAATACATGAAAATTGTACTTAAACTAGTTATTTCATAGAATATCTAGTTATTCTATACAATTTCAGTTTGATATCCGTTATAGTATAAATACACTAAAATTTGAAATATATATTAAAATATTTTATTTTACTGAATTAATTATAGTTATATTATTTATTTATTTATTTTTACATGTAAGGCTATTTTTGGCATTTAGAGTTGCACAATACCTCTTTTTTTCTACAAACACATCGCTTTGTGTCACATTTTTTGGTACAAGTGCACTTAAAAAAAACCCTGACCAGTTCCCAGTGACTGCGCAGTTGCCGTAGATCTTAATATAATACTTTCATTTGGAACAGTTTCTACAGCTAACAAATTTTTTGAACATTCTGTGAACTGGGATCGAGAGTATATAGTTGTTTATCACTCCTGTAATTATAATGTATAGGTAGGTAATAGGTATCAAATAAATAAAAAAATAAAAAATAACTTGTATTATTTGAATTTATCTTACCATCATTGGATTCTAGTTGAATAAATCCATTGTCAGTTCATTTTAAAACAACAGCAATAATTGAACAAAGATCGACATCGGAAATTTTGATACGCGCTGTAGAACCAATATTAGCAATCGTAAATTTAGTATTTGATAAATCTTTCATTCTTTTTGCCTGTTTTTCCAAACATATATTGCGGTCACCGACAAAAAGGATGTCAATCTTTTCTGATTTAATATGTTATATCAAATTTTTGAAAATGTTAGAACTATATTTATTTATCATGATTTTTTGTTATTTACAATTTAACACATTAACGGAGTGATGCTAGGGAATGTATAAAATAACTAGTTAAAGTATAAATTATATACATCACCTACAAGCTTTAGTTATTTTATAAACTAACTGATTCAACACTTTAACTATAACATATAATAGGCATATAATATAATAATATAAATACATTTTATTATTTAGTGTACCTAGTGACGTAAACTTAGTGCAATTTTTTCTTTTGTATGTTAATCATTTAATTATATACTAAGATTTTAGTCATAGATCTAACTATAGATAAACTTGGTTCTTAATTTAATTGGTATGTTTATGAGCATGGTTTTAATTTCAAGATTATAATATACTAGTATGGTATTATTAATATTATCTATATTATTTATTATGTTTATACTCTACCCACAAAACTATCCATTAACAATGGTTTTAAATTTTTAATACTAACTAGTAATCATTATATTATGGTAGTAGTAACTAAGATCATTATTATTATGGTTATAATCATGATAGAATAAATTCTAAAATCTGTATATTCTATTGTATCTAAGGTGAATTTAGTATATTTATTGAGCTTTAAGAAGGAACCATATTAATTTACTAAATACATGGTTACAATATTACAAATAAAAAATGCAAAAAATTAAAATGTTAATTAATAACTGTAAATATATTAACACATAACAGATACAACACAGATAATATACTTTAACATTTTAATTGCCTTTAAATGATCCTTTAGACACAAATACAAACACTGGTTGGATAAATTACCTGTAAAACTATGGTTTTTTTTTCATTCCTGATGATTCTATTTTTCCAACAAAGTCTTCTAAATTTGAATATGTTTAATTCTTTTATACTTACTTTTAAACTTTCATATAAAAAAAAAAAAAAATGTCAAATACGCTCATTCCACGTTTTTCTATTGTATTAAAGTCTGTTTTTTTTCAATAATTTAAAAAAATGGTCATCAGATCCGAAAGTTGATGATCTTAAAAAACAATATTTATAATTACCTATATAATTCAAATTATTTATTTTTTTAAAAATGCTTTCGCGTCAAACAGTTAACGTAGTTTTTGAAGTTACATACATAGTAAAATCCAATTTTCCGAGTATCGTCGATTTTTTTAAATTGGCTTTTTTATTTACATTATTTATTTTTAGTATTATTACTTTTTGTAATGAATTTAAATTGTTTCAAGTAGTTTAGCGGTTGAATTATCAATTAAATCATTTGTCTGCGTAAGTAAGTTCTTTAGTTAGGAATTCAAATTTTCAATAGCTGCTCTATCATCTAAATATACACTTATTTTCAAATAAAATTTCATTAATCATTATTATATTTAAAAAATATTATAGTATGACCGTAGTATAAAAGAACATGTTATTACTATCGTCATGGACTGATTTGATATAAATATATGATAAGATATTAAAATTAGTCCAACTACTGACCATAGAGGTCGCACAGAAAAATTCAATTAATGATTATAGCAAATTGCATGGATTAGCAAAGATTAAATCACACTGTTCAATGTTCATAATTCATAATTTCATATTATTGTTCATAATGAATAAATGTCTTCCGTCGTAAAACGTTATGTTAATTAATCTGCATTGTATGACCACAGATAGATGAAATTTTATCTATTCTGTGGACTGTGCTATGATTCGTACATGGCATACTCCATGGCTCTACGCCTTGTGTTTTTAATTTAATACCATTATATAATAATATGAGCTGTACTAGTTTTAACTTCTATTTTAATAAATTATTTATAAAATTTAGTTAGTATTCAATATTCAAGTTGTTTTTATTGATTAATATTTAACATAATGTTGAAGAATGTTTATTTATAATATGGCCAACTCCGTTTACAATTTGTGTAAATTGAAAAAATATTTAAAGTATATTTTTATAATTTTTCTATGGTTACTGTATTATTTTGGTGTTTTTACTCATCTTTTTGAATTGGACTATTATTCTCAATTTGTGTATCCACTGGAAACTGACATATCAAAATGTGTAATGAACTTACAGTCTGGTAATTCTGATCAACCACCTTGTATTTATATAAATGCATTACAATATGATTTGTTGTTATCAAATGACACTAAATGTAATAGAAATATTCATTTACTAATATTGGTTAAATCGTCATTAATTAATTTTGATAGACGAAAGACAATTCGACAAACTTGGGGATTTGAGAATCGATTTTCTGATGTACCCACTAGAACAGTTTTTGTATTAGGAAGGTCGTATGATATAGATTTAGAGAAACGCATTAAAGAAGAACATGAACAGTATGGAGATATTATACAGTATGATTTTATTGACGCCTACTACAATAATACCATCAAAACTATGAATGCAATTAAATGGGCTTCAACACGTTGTAACAATTCAAAATTCTATTTTTTCTCAGATGATGATATGTATATATCTGTAAAAAACGTGTTACGTTATTTGCGAAACCCGACTAGATATCCAGAATATTTAACAGAAGAAGTTAAAGGAAAACAATCAAAACATATCTTGCCGTCAGATATAATATTATTTACTGGATATGTTTTTCATTCTTCACCACTGAGACATCAAATAAGTAAATGGTATGATGATTTTATGTTTTTATTAGCTTTTTAATTTTAGAATTTTAATAATTTTATTATTTTTTACAGGTATGTCTCTCTTTCTGAATATCCGTATCATATGTGGCCTCCATACGTCACAGCTGGTGCTTATATGTTATCCAAAGCAGCTTTAGTCAAATTTTACTATGGAAGTTTTTATGTAAAGCAGTTTCGATTTGATGACATATATTTAGGGTTGTTATCAAAAAAATTAAATATAAAACCTTTTCACTGTGAACACATATATTTTTATAAGAAACATTATTCTATAAGTAGTTATAAATATGTTATTGCTAGTCATGGATATGATGATAGTGAGGAGTTACTTAATGTTTGGATGGAACAAAAAAGTTACGGAAACGCATAAGACTATTTTGTATTACTAATTAAAATTAATGAATTATTTTCATGTTACTTTAGATACTGAAACAAAATATATATTTTTTAAGTTTAGATTTTATTGTTAAAAAAAACTCAATAAAATATTATCATTGTATAATTTTATAAAGCCCTGTATACATTTGTAAATTATTTTTATTTATATTGGATAAACATTTTTATTTACAACTATTTGTAATATTTGTATTAATTTTAGTGCATGAATAATACAATTAGGAAAATCTAAATGATAACAAATCTGTATGAAAATATAGAATTCTTGTTTTGTAATTTCATACTGCTCAATCGATTACTTGAGAAACAAGTTTTTTACCAGGATGATGAGAATCATTAATGAAGATCTATTATTCCTCTTTTAAGTTTATCTGTAAAATTTAATTACATTTTTTATGCCTTCATACTTACTATGTCTCTGTATGTATTGAGATTTTGCACATAATTGCATATAATAAAATTAAATTGCTAGATAAAAAAAAAAAAAATTAAAAATTATGAAGCAACACAACATTTAAAAAAAATTTATGAAGTTTTTCATCTTTGAGCAATTATAGAATTACACTATTTGGTAAACAGTGTGACTGCCACTGGACTCTACATTAATGATTGGTTAATATTTACTAAATAGGTTCTGTGTCAGTAAATCAAGGTCAGGAATCTGCTTTTTTTTTAAGAATAATTCATACACTCATACAGTTATGCAAACAGTTTTATAGAATTATGTGTTGGATACTAATTAGTAATTAATAATTATATTAATTAATGAGCATTTATTTTGTACAATTTTTAATATGCAATACAGCGATATTAATTTAAATTGTATTTTTTTTTGTTTTTAGGATATTTCTTACATCATAATAACATTAAATGGCCAGCCATTCAATTTTTTTTTTTTAACATTAAAATGTACGCCCTATTATAGAATAATTAAATTCCTTAGATATTCAAAGTACTTTTTTTTAATCAAAATTCAAATTATTTATTGTTAAAATAAAATTTTTTTAAAACTTTGGTTAAGTTGACATTAATTTAAGCACATATAATAAGGAATTATAAAACACATTTGTAATACATGAACAGCAAGATACAATAATTGTTTTTCATAAAGTTATTCATTTTCAGCTCAATAAAATAACAAATATTTGAAGTGTTTATGCCGTTTATGGCATGATTTTTTTTTCTCTTGAGATAACTTAGCTACCTACTTTTAATTGTATATATTGATACTTATAATATTTATTAATTATTTTTGTATATTTACTATTATAATTTTACATGAAAATTAAATTTGAATGTGTCAAATAATTGCGATATATTTCATATATCTACTATCACGGATACCTTCTCAAAACTATCATAATTTATTGTTTTATAAATTATTTCCGTGAACTGAAACGACTATTTGTAATTATAAAAGTTTTAAATTACATTTTTTATAAAGTAGCGTTGCAGTTTTGTAAATACTAATTGAAGAATAAGTATCACAGTTGTTGGAAAATCCCCAAAGTGATTTATTAGAGATTTTTATTGCATACTGTGATACTATTTAATGCTTAAAAGTTCGGGTCGGTCGTCTCCGTCTTAAGTTCTGTAAAATTAGACAAAAAGTAGGTAGGTTCTAGTTAGGAATTATTCCTATTGAGCTGAATTTTAATACACACCTTTATAACGTGCCAATGTGTCACATACAGTGTGAAATATTGATTGCAAAATCATGTGCGCTTCAAGGATTATTTAAGGTTAAAGGTCCTTAAGAAAAAGATATTTTTGTAAATATTAAGTTCGACAAAAATTATAGAGAAGATAATTAGGTAGGTATCTACTAGAAAGGTTTTATGACGTTTTTATGTAAATATTATTGTTATTGTGCTATAAAATTTATATTGTACACACTTAAAGAAATGTGATTTTTTTTACTAACAAAAAAAAAAAGCTTTTGTTGCGTAAATATCTCGTTTTATACTAGTTATATAAAAAAATTTCAAACAAAAATTGTAGAGTACAAAATTATCTACAGCTTACTTACAAGGCTGTATTTTTTTTATGTATGTGTAACCGTTCTTGTAGTCTACGAATTTGTATGTTCACCATATAAAATAATGAGTACACTGAAACTTCTATATAATGGACTGTACCTATAGTGGGGAAATAAAAAATGTGCAGCATATAACTGATGATCGAACACATAACTGAACCGTTTGTCATAATATTTCGAGTAGGAAAACTTTTAAGATAAGATCAGATATAAAATACGACCGAAATGTACCTATATCAGTTATAAGATGAATAAATTATTTTTAATAACAATTTAATAACTTGTTTTTTTGATAACTAATAGCAAATAATAAATAATAATTGAAATTATGATAATAAATATACTGTAAATCATACAACTTAAGTACCTACCTATTAATTTATTGTTAAATTTTCATTAAAATAAAACAATTTATTTTACCATACATTAAAAATATTTGTAAGTATCAACACTGAAGTCACATAAAAAGCAAATCCATTGTAACGTGGCTGGGGAACCTAGTTACTATATTAGTTATCCAGGGAAGGTCTTCTGGTCCTTATGGATAAATTTTCCGTAGCTAGGGGGTTAGAACACGGTATGTGGAATCTTATCAATAAATAAAACACGTTTGGTTTATAAATCTCTGTTCAAAATATATTTTTGGTTTGTACTTAACAAAATGTAGATGGTGGTAAACAATCCCGGTGTTGGTGAGTTCATGTTTTTTGGTGAGTTCGTGTTTATTGCTGGTCAGTCTCGAACTGCCCTTTCGATAAACGGTGCGTATTGGCCACTGGCCTCACAATCATTAACAATGTTTATCTCAGCATAAATATCCCACTATTGCCTACTACGGAATTGACACATACATAGGTGTCATGTAACAATAATATATATTATTGTTACACCATAAATCTGGATAATTCAGATATTCGGATTTCATGCCCATCACTAATTTTTTATTACTCACACATATCCGATTTGTATATTGTGCCCATTTACGAGAAATAATTTTTAATTTTGGTACCAGTTTTTAGTGTCCACGTCCACTATTAAGAGGTTATAACTCTTATTATGTGCATACATTTTTGTCGAGGAATTTAAAAGTGTCCACTATTAAGAAGGGTACACTATTGAGAGGTGTCCATTAATAGAGGTTTCACTGTACCTACATTATAACAATTTTAAAAATGCATTTGTTTCTACACTACCATTAAGGTAAAAATCTAGGTGCATTTTTTCCTATGGTTTCTCTGGTGGTTCTAATGCATATGTAGTTAATTGTCATCACATATAGTAATCTAATCATCAAAACAAAGTACCTAGATATTTTAATACTATGTTCGTATCCATACGACTAAAGAGGTAAAGTGATAAAAATTAAAACTTATTATATTATCTATACATAATTATTATAAAAATACATTGAAAAAAAGTTTTTCTTACTTAGGTTTAACTGGCTTTAGAGCTTTTATATAATTATTTTTACCAAGAGATTTTACTAAAAACTATGTTTTGATAAAATGTATTGAGATTTTCTATGCAAATAATTTATAATTATATATTATAATTTATAATATTGTCTTGGATTTAAAATTTGCATGGAATAATTAAAATTTAAGTTTATAATAAAAATAGAAGAAAGTAAATGGTAAAGTGGATGTGGAGTGTACTACTTCGTTATTGAGGAGTGTGCCACTGTAAGGTGTTAAATTTAAATCAATGATAAATCTTTGTAGGTATATGAAAAACGGTTCCGGGTAATAGTAGTTTACATCAGACTATATTAGGGTGAACATTTTAAGAAAATAAAAAAAAACAGAACAGTTGTTCCCCCCCCCCTTTTTCCACCAAAAAAACCTTTCCATACACATTCATATTATGCACACAACTGTAGAGTATAAAAGTTCAAATCTGTGTCATATCACAAACAATTGTGTTCTGATTACTTTATCCTTTTTGAATTAACTAACAAGAATAAGGAATATTACATCATCAGCTATCTTTATTATTCACTTTCCACTCTTTTTTCTATACTTTTCTGAAGACCTTATTGAATTTAACAATATCAGGTACTTCAAAACATTCATGAAATTTAAAGTTAAATGTTTAAAGTTTTTTTCGCAATAATTATTTCATTTAATGGTTTCGATATTAAAATGGAATTTTTTATTTGTCCATAATACATTTATTATTTACAATATTCTTTCTACTGATGCATTTGTTCCAGGAATAGTCAATAATTCAAAAATTGTTGAGTAGTTATTGATAAATGCTTTTTTTCTCTAGCGTTTTAATATATCATACCATTTTTCTGTCTCATGCTTATCGTTAATTTAATTGTTCATTGGTATCGATTTTTGATCCTCGTTCCACGAAAACTTTTATCTATTATTCATAACTTTGGTTTTAAAATTGTTTTAGATTTGTTTCATACATTGATTTCTTTTTAAGGTATAATGTAATAATATGGAAAAACGGGATTAAAATGGGGCCCCTTTCTAAAAATGGAATAAAAAAAATGTCTCGTTTGATGGTAGTCGTGAGTGATGACAATGAAATATGATGATCTAAAAAGGGACAATCCCGTTTTAAATGGGACGTCTGGTCACCGTAGATTAGAAACAGACTACTGTTTGTAATTTGGTCGGCTGAATTAATTTTTGCTGAAAATACTTCATTGGAAAATGAGATTGTGTGTTTAATAAATAATAATAAACTTAATAAGTTTCAATACTCACGATTTTTTTTTTTTTTTTTAATTACAACAAAATTACTATTTTCATATAAATATTTAATTTCATAGAAATTTGAACTTAACATTTTTTTATATATTTTTTTCAGTTACTATGAAAACTACCAGGAATTTTTATTTTTGATTCTCTAAAATATTAACTATATACCATTTGCCAGTAAAAACAACTTCAAAGTTAAAAATAATTTTAACTTTTTCAAAAGGCGATGACTGATAGAAAAAAACAATCATTGTTTTAAGAAATTGCATTCATCACTCCGCTCTAATTTCAAAGTATTTAATGTATTTAACCGGTTTTTTAAAATAACTTTTATTATTTTATTTAACAATAATAATAAATTTAAAAACTATTTGAATATTAACTTCTATAAATGTGAAAAGAAAATAGAAATATGGCGGCTGATTTTAATCATTCTACTCCTGTTTTTTATTTAATAATTTAAATAAAAAATTGTAAGAAGTTTAAAATTTTTTCAAATACATTTTGATAAAAAAATTAATAATTAGATATAAATGATTGAAAAAATTTAATACAATATCCCATATATTAAGTTGTTTTTATATATATACAATGTGAATGTGCTTGGTAATATGAGGAGACAGTCCGTCTCTACTTAGAATATTTCTTTGTATACAATAATATATCATTGAATTACAATTTACCATATACATTTCAGTAATTTAATTGAAACGTATGTGTATTATTTCAAATTTCAATGATGATCATACGAAATGTTTGAAGTAGGTAATTCTATTAAAAAAGATTTTCGTATGGTGACATATGCGCGTAAAAACACATTAATGTAAAACCAATTTTTCTTATTTCTGTTAGAAACTAAATTATATATTTTTTAATAAATATGTATAAAATAACAACTTAATTTAAGTAAAAACACCATTAAACTTTATTTCGTTCAAAATTAATTTAAATACAAAGTTTCTCCAATCTCTATAGTTTATAATATATCTTACTAAAAATTATTTATTTATTATTTTATTAAAGGACACCTCACAATTACTGTTTTTGTTTTTTATTTAAGAAGCTTATTTTAGGCAATTTTAATAGAATTGTCAAGAATTAAAATGTTTAGTTTTAATTATATTTAATGAGATTATATAGAAAAACAGTTAAGTGCAAAATAAACTTACTAATACCTACTTATTTTATTTACAAAACATTTACCAAATGTTCAGACTACTTAAAAGAGAACTTAAATTGTACGTTATTACGTTTTTATGTTTTTCGTATCAATACTCAATAATTTTTAGCAAAAAAACGAAAGAATAAAAATAAAATTAATTTATATGAATGAATAATTTGAACAGTTATTAAATTATAAAAAAAAATAAAAGCCCTACTACATACGTCATACATACATTTTTTCTATATTATGTTTAGTAAAAATTTGTAAGGTTACTGTGAATATAATATTTAGTTTCCGTAAATTTGTCTCATACAAAACTATTTTTATGGATAAATTAAGAGCGGTGTGGTGTAATCCTAATTAATTAGGATTAATCTAAAATTATTTAATTAATTTAAAATTGTGTTGTATCAACGACTAATAGTTATATAATTAATATTATGTATATATTGTATGTATACACACACAATAATTTGCGTGGACATGTGATCATGATATGTTAGTTATTATACTATTAATTATAGAATAGTCTGTCTATAATCAATGTTATATTACTCATTACAAATTAAAGACTAAAATAAATATGGATAATATACAAGCATATTTAAGTATTTAATAGAATAGAATATTTACAAAATAAAATATGTGTTTTAGAAACTGTTTAATATACCTATGATCAATAGGTATTTATAGGTTATAGTAATATATTAACATTATTTTTGACTTATAAAATAAGGGATTAATATGTCTATGTGGTACATTAATTTAAAATATCCTAATTTTTTTTTTGTAAAAATGTATTTTCTTAATAGTTTATAATATGATTAAGAACCGGGTTTTTTATGCACACAAATCTTTAAAATATACTCTAAAAATACTGTAATATGCTAAAAAATATGAATTTATTACTAAATATGCACTAAAAATTGAATCGAAAATATTTTATTTAAAATTATGTTAAAAATAAGTATTAATTAATTAAGTAGGTATTAAAAAAGGTATAAAAAAGTATTTCGTCATCTTCGCTATTTAACATTGTTTATCTTCAATCTGGTAAGTGTCGTTTAGTATATTTTTCAAGGTAAACACGAAGAGATAGATTTTATAATTTAAATAAAGAAATATTAGCAGTATTAAAAGCCTGGCAGATATCTCCATTAAAATTATCCACGTTCATATTAGAAATAAAACTTGGTTTTGTATTTTTAAATTTGATTCTTTGAGTTTTAAATTGTTCTTTGTGACTCCAATTGGTTTTTTTTACTTTAAGCATTTTAAAGTTACGAATTAAAATTATATCAAAAATCACTAGTCACAAAATCTGACACAATTTTAAACGTAAAACGCATGACACCGATTGATCGGTTTCCGTGGAATATTTAAACTCAATTATATAAACAACGAATTTATCTATATTAATATTATATTTATGTATATATATATATATATATATATATATATGTTATATACTCATATGTCATCTAACATATTATGTTAGGAAATAACAAACGGTAGTAATTTTATCGATATTCTGCGGCTGTGAACATTAAAATACGACGAAAAACAAATATATGTGTTATCAATAATAATATGCACTATTAAACCACAAATATGTATTTAATAGGTAAAATCGTTGAATTATGCAAAATATGTAAAATACAATTAATGTTATTTTAATAAAAATGATCTAAATCTGGGAAAATTTTCATCAGATTCCAAAAGCTTATTCCAGTATATCATATATGCATTTGCATATAAATCCGGTCTCTAATTATGACGGTGCGAACAAATAATAATTTTAATATTTTACACTCTAATAATTATTGTATCAAAAAGTTGCTTATTTATTATTAATTTTTTTAAGTTATTGTGACATACACTATTTGATTGAATCTCCATATGTTGGTAGGTAAAACATACACGATTCCATTATTTTTGTTTGGGCGAAGACTGACCAACAGATCGTCTAAAAATATAATATTTTTTTCTTATTAAAATCAAATTTTGTACATTATTAATTCATCTACACACTGGACAATATTTACAAAAATATTTATTTTGGAAAACAATTATAGTAAATATATAATGTTAGGTATTTACCTAAAACCTTGAATAATACTTCTTGATCTCATTCCAGAAGTTGCATCAAATGTCGGTATCGTTGGATATGTAAATTCACTATCTCTAGTCATCGCCATTTGTTTTGGATTCATTGTGTTTGCAACTTTTGAACTTTTTTTATATTTATACCACCAATATTCAAAAGCTAACGTAAAGCAAGCTAGTCCAATTCCAACAAATATAACAATAAAAACTCCACCTATAGTAAGCAAAAATGTTATAACAAAATAAATACATTTTATAAATTACTTAATATCGTATTATTACATTTTAATCTGAACAGGTTAGAATAAGTTGGTATCTATTGACTTATTTATACCTAATAGCTATTGGTATACTTATTTTATATATTAGTTTATTATGTATAAATAAATAAATACAAAATTAAGTTTTAAGAAGTACGAACGTGAATCCCAAAAGTTATAATATCACAGTTTGTATATGTAATAAGTATCTATATACTATATTAATAAAATTGTTGAGTAGGTGGTACACATGAAATCTGGGTTATAGAGATCTGGGTTACATTTGAGTATTATTTTGTTGATAGAATTAAGAATAAAATATCTAATCAGGTATTTTAAAGTATAAATAGTTAAATAGTACAATAGGTTAAATTAGTTTTGTTTTATGTACTGCTCTAAGTGAAATTTCGATGTAGGTAATACTTATTTTTAAAAATCATTTATTTGTCGAAATGTAATCAGTGTTTGTCTAAAAATAAATGATCCTCATTTCGAGTTTATCCTGTAATATAATTAATTTTGTTTTAACTTATAATAGGTGATATATGATTATACTATAGCATCTACATATATTACCTATCTAATACCTAAGTGATCTAAAAGTTAAATATTAGAATATTCATAAATATAATATGCATATAGCAGTAAGCATACAATGAAAATTTTCTTTTTTCTGTAAGATCGATGGAGTTTTTGGAGACATTACTAAACTTACAGCCGTTGTAAGAGTATAATATAGATAATAACGTATAATGTTGTAGTATTTTTTTGTTTTGTTTAATTTTGTTTTGCTTAAATAAATATTGAAAGTAAATAATGTTAAATATAAAAATATTAACGTGCAGTAGAAAAATTATATTTTCATGCATACATTCCTACAAAAAAATACTTATTATGTTCCTTTAATTCGTTTATAAATATCTACCTACTTTTGTCTGGTTTTTTTTTTTTTAATGAACTTTTTGTTTTTTTTTAATTCGTATACTTCAGTAGGTCGGATATTAATATTATTATTGACGAGTGTATTTGATGAAAATACGTTTTATTTGATGTTTAGTATCTTACTATGCGTTAAAATATATTTAGTCTTTGACTCTTCGTGTAACGGATAAAAAAATGAATATTAATTATTTTTTAGGTATAATAATATGTGTTAGTGAAATTATTTTTTTGATGCTATTATAGACGAATTTTCATCAACTTTATGACCCGGCTAACGTGCTATCACTTTTTTTTACGCAACAAATGTGTCAAGTAAAAATATACAACCTATGTTATGGATACTGATGCCATCAGATTGATTATCTTGTTTTTCACATTGTATTCTTTCTGGGTTCAGATTCCACCAAGTCTCTTTTAATTTTTCTAATTTTCGTTTATTGAGTAATAATAAAATTGCATTATTGAATTGATCTTTTAATGGAGATCCTTGTTGAACAGCAATAGCATATGGTTTTCTAGAGAATTCGTCGCCGACCATTTGTAAATGGCAATCTATCATTACTTGATATCTAATGTCTGTAGCGTCTCCTAAAATAGAACAATATTTTCACTTTAGTATTAAAAATAACAACGCTTTGAATTTATTACTCGGATTTTAATTTATAGTTGTACATCTTTAAAAATGAGATACCTAAATAAGCGAATCCTTCACTAGATGATTTAGAACTTTGAACTCTTTCGATTGCCTCTTCTAAAGTATTAGGTAGTTTAGCCTCTTTCATTGCTTGCCACATTTTTGTGTATTTGTCACTTACTGGATAATCCCAAACAGCTAATTTCGCTCGTTCTACTTCACTCAAACTGTCATTTAAACTCATATCTTTCCATATTCTAAAATTAGAGAATTAAAAATATTTGACATAGTTATTATTTTGATGTATAGTGTTTTTTGTTGTTGTAACATTTTAATACGTTTTAAACAGGACTTTGTTATTAAAACTAAAATAGTCACGACATAATAACGTCTTAGGTAGTTAGCTTTATTAAAGTGTTATTAACATAATATTATTCACGAGAAAAGTGTAAAAAAAGTCTTGTGTAATATTTTATTTGTTAAATAAGTGCATTGAATTTTTTTTATTAATTAAACAGTTGGATGTATTAAATTTTTTAAAAACTATTAGTACTCAACTCATAAAATCGTGTTTCAATGTCGGCCATTCTTTGAAAATAAGTCATTGCTGATGAACCATTCAGTGGAGCATATTGTATTTTATATTGTTTGGATAAATCATCCAATGATTCTACTGGAGTGTCCAATCGAGAAACTGTTAGGAAAGCTGCTAAATTAGCAGTATAAGATGCTATAATTATAAATCCGAAAAGCCACCATGTAGCAGCAACTAGTCTGCCGGAAAGATTTTTGGGAGCTTCACCCCCGCCCTAAAATAATTGTAAAAAAAAAAAACAATTGTTAAGTCTTTATAACTAAATTACAAGTGTCAATGACAAAAATGCGAATTTGACTTAGATGTTGAGTTATAAAATTAAAAGAAATGATTTATATACATTATTATCCAATTAATACCTATTATTATTGTAATTATAGATGAGATTTAGTATATTTTAAAAATTTATTGTATATTTGGTAATATTTTTCAAAAATATTTTACTTAATAATGACAAAATTGTTAAAATATATTTAAGAGTCAAATACTAAGCTAAATTAAGTAAGCTAGATGAAATAAAAAATGATTTGTGTAGAGCCCATTGGGACATAGACTTAAAGGTTGGATTAGGACATATAAGTTGCCTAAGAAGAATTGATTTTTAGTATTTTTATTTGCTGTCTTCAACTGACAGTTGAAAGAAAAAATGATTTTCCGGGGAAGCTTGATTGATGAAATCAACGTAAAAAAGGAATGATAAGACAACTATTTTATAATTTGTGTCGAGAATTATTGTTGAAGCTGTTATATTATAGCTATTTATTATTGATTGTATTGAGAGATCTGTTACAATAATCAATGGTCGAGAGTTTTGTTCGTGAGTTTTGGATATGATTTTTTTGTGGTAACCGCTATAAAAACTGCCGACACAAATGTTATTTTACAGTTAGATACTGTTTTTTAATTCTTAAATATTTAAAAAGTAGTTTTAAATTTTAGAAATAAATTTCTTTTTCATTTATTTTGTTAGTTTTAACTTGGTTATTGCTTATTGTTTACGAAAGTAAGTATTACCTGAGGAGTTAAAGAAGTCATACAAAACCATAAACACTCTTTTAAGTTGAATTCTCGTTTTTCTTCGTCATCTTTATATTTATTTCTATTATTTTGATAACTATATGGGCTCCATCGATCAAATACCCACATTAAAAAACTAATATAAAAAAAATATTTATAGCATGAGTTCACATTGAAATTTCATGTGTATTATTAAATATTTATATCTACATTATATAAATGTATAATGTATATATATACGTATTGATGGATCTGTTATATATGTCATTCACCTGGTAAAAAAGTAAGCACCAAGTATACACATCCATACATCGTTTTCTAGAACTGTAAGAAATTTAAACAACGAAGTTGGCGTTTGTGGTTTTTTCATTAGAATTGTTATTCCGACTAAATCGTAATAAGGAACCGTAAAATCCACAACATTTTCTCTCTCAGCCATAACTGATAGAGAACCCAATGCAATATCAGCTCTCTAATAAATTGAATTACAATAAAAACGAATGTATAATTGAATTTTAAATTAGGTATGTATACCTTTTCGACGAGTTCTTTAATCATCCCGTTCCATTGTCCATTTTCGTCCATATTACCTGAACAAATTAAATATTTTGTATGAGTAATATAATAAAACTATTTTTGGTTTTATTATTACAATATTTTTAAATTTACCAAAATTGTTGTCTGGTGCTATATAGATTTCGTACTCAAAACCAATTAATTTTCTAATTTCTTCGATTAAATCAATACAATAACCTTTAAACTTTACACCTTTGCCATCTTCGTCATCAACTTGTATCATAAATGGATTTTGCTGAAACAAATCACTTATGTAATATATACAAATGCAAAATCATATCAACGCTTAAATGAATACTTATAAATTATAATAATAATCATCATAATTAATTGAACGTATGCATAAAATTGTACTGAATAGTGTAAAATGTGTGTACAGTGTACTGTATAGCTATAAATATTATTTACCAACACAGTGACTACTCTGTATACAGTGACGGCAGAAAAATGTGTCATGTTTGCGGCATCTTTTACAACGATCGGCGAATTAAGACTTGCCTTCCACGAGCCCACGTTTTCAGCACTTACTGATTGACTGTTTAAAACTGTTACTTTTTCTAATCTCATTGTAAATTCTTCATAACTGTGCCCATTTGTATCTATTAAAAATGGAGCGTAAGAGGGTGGTTCTGTCATCTTAAAGTAACAAATACATAATATTTAATTAGTAAATACAAATAACAAAATATTAAAGACATTTTGATTTTTAATTATTTACATCTTTTAAATATCTTCTTAAATCGACATTTCTTCTTGGAAGTGGATTTTCTTCATTGTATTCATCGCATGTAGTGTAGGTAACATTAGCTGGCCATTCACCACTATTCATCATCGATCTATAAATTACATTAACTAAAATAAATAAACCGTATTTTTAAATGTTAATATAACATTATACGGATTGTTAGATAACCATATTAAATTTTAATAATATTTTAATATAAGGATCTTCCATCCGGTCTGCATTGTCTTTATCCGAGGCCCGTGAACATATTTTAAGCATAGCGTATACTTTAAATGTATTTTTTATTATTTAATACATATTTATATTACGAATGCAGTCCATTAAATTTAACAAAAATAATGGTGGTCCGCGGCCTAAAAAAGGTTGAGGACTCTTTGCTTTAATAGCAATGTTTATAGTTTGAATTTATTTTAGTTTATTCTATAATCAATACGTATGAGCTAATACTTCTTTGTCTATATTATAAAATTATATTTATAATTATAAAGATAAATTATTTTACTTGAAACAGTTATGTAGATTTATAATTTATATTTTGTTACCAGATGATGTATTAATGTATGCAATTAGTATTATGATTGATGAATATTATTATTATACCTGATTGCTAACAAGGATCGGTAGTAAAAATCAAAGTAAAATGCTGCTTTCAGTTCTGGTGTTGACGTTAAACCATATGTTGTTCTTAAATTTGATAATTTTTCTCGACTTGCAGCATCTGGCTCAGGTTTTACAAATAAAATAGTAGCATTAGAACAGCCACATTTGAGTGATCCTTTATCCTATTTAAAAAATAGATACTTGATTCAACCTGTAATTTAGTGTATTAATTTTTTCAATTGATACTACAATTTCTTGTAATTTTATATATTTAAGATATTGAATATAATAAATTTTGAAACCATGATAAACTTTTGTGTATTTTGATTTATTACTGACGATATTAAATGTTCTATAATGATAATATATTTAATTTTAAATGTTTGAGAATTTAGAATTCATGAAGTAATAGTATATGTTTTATGTAAATACGATTTTCTATAGATTATAATATTTTATTTAGTTTATAAAATAATTAGAATGATTTTCAGTCGTAAGTAGATATCTTCTGTCAGTCAGCACCTATCACATATACAACATAATATAAGCATTTAGTCATATTCTATTGCCAACTAATTATATCTAAGATGAAAAAATAGGTTTGAATTCACAGTAAAATCTTCTTGAGAAAAACTTTTCGACTTTAAATTTTTACTTACTTAAGTACCATCAAAGTTTGTTGAATATAGTTTAATTTATAAATTGTCATACTTTATGTTGGGTACCCGAAGAAAAAATTAAACAAGTTTAAAAGTTTTAACTAGATCTTAAGTAAATTTCACAGGAAATTTTAACATTTATAAAGTTAATGATATTATTTTGCACTAAGTGCGTAATAATTTAATATATTTTGAAATTATATTTATATATTTACAGGAATTTTTAGTGCACAGTTTTTAAAATTTATAATTTATAACTATTTATTTTTATTTAAATAATTTTGAGTACTTTAAATTATAAAAATATAAAAAAAATATTGCTCACAATAAATTAAAATAATCTGATTATTAAATAATATGCACTGGATTATATAAGTATTTTTGTTTCCGAGTTATTTACGTATGTATATTTTATATTTTACCTGTGTAATGACATGCCATGCATATTTTCGACCAAATAACTTATTGGAATTGGCGTGGTCCAAAACTGATTTAATGATTGATAATTTTCCCAATACAAAAAAATTTACTATGTCTACATCACGGAATCTGGTCAAGTGTAGCTTAATGCTGGTAGTGTCATCAATAGCAGCTATAATATGTCTAGTCGGAATATTTTGTAGTAACGATTTATACTTGTGATCCATTACTAGATTACATAACATTATTACATTTATATTATTTAAAATATTAATTACATCAAGTATAACTAACGCTTTAAATTATCAGAGTATTATGAACAATTATGAAAAATATTTTTATGATAAAAGTCATTCAATTTACGTATGAAGAAAATCAGGTAAATAATTAGTTTAACATAAAAATATAATGGGTATCATAATTATTTTATGTTTATTTTAAAATTATTGTAATTGTCCTAGAGCATAGGTATCTATATATTTTGGTTCGATAAGATCAATGTTACATTAGTATGCAAATGAAAAATGTATTCTGTATTTACCTATAACAGTACTTATAGTAAAATTGTAGTTTTAAAAAGTAAAAATAATATTATAATGTAGGTACATGTTTATTTGGTAAATTTTTGCATCATTGTGATATAATTCCATTTTATATTTATATTTTACTAAAAATAATTAAATGATACGATACTTCAAAATGTTTTTGATTTATATAATCTAATCAAAAATTATTTTGAAATGATATACTTGAGAAACAATTGTTGTTTATGTGTTACAAAATATGTCATGTACATATATGTATATATATATATATATTCTTATGCTATTATTTATATTAATATATTTATGCTCGTTAAAAATAATAATTTATTCGTTTTCGATTTTCCTGTATATCATATTAAATTTTTATTGAATACCTTATGTAGTTTATACTTTACATACCGAATGTATCATCAAACATTATGCCAGCATTTGTTATATTTTGTGCTACTACAATACTTCTTATTATTTCTGGTATAAGGTCTGCAGGTGGATTAATTTGTATCAGATATTTTTGTTGTTCTCCGTCTAAATTTCTCCATTGTCTTAAAAATAAAATGATGTTTATTAATTATTCTCAGAAAATAAATTTTAAATGTAATACCATTATTATTTTAGATTAAAATTGTTGGAGGCAATGTAGTTAAATGTTTTATGTTGGCTAGGAATATTTCAAAAATTAAATAATACATTAACTTTATTTCAAATAAAAAATTTGAATGTAAAACATATTTTTAAATTTTAAAAATTTAATTATTATAGGTTTTTATAACTTAAAAAAATAAATAACGGGTAATGTTTTACATGTTTTTAATTGTACAATGTCATCAATGTCATTTAAAATTTTTTTCCTTTACATAAGTTGCAAATTTGAGATTTAATTAATTTTTGTTGACAATAATGACAACACAAATTAAGATAATCATTTTTTAAATAACCAATCAAATAAATTATTCCATTTTATTCTTGGATATATGATACTTGGATGTGTGTTTTTATAAGTAATTTACTTATATCTTTAGGTACCTATATATTGATTATGTTGAGTAAATCAAGTTCCATTGACATTGATTTTTGTAATATAATAATTATTACAGTCATATATTATATGATTTTTTAATACTAAATTTAACCAATTACCTTATATCACCATTTTGTCCATATGATGCACTAACAGTAGGCAATGCTAAAGCAGCAGTAAATGATTTTACAGCTTCTGATGCAACTCCATTAATTGTTGTGTCAATGACCAGATGTGGTGGTTTATTGTTGCGAATGGATGCATTATAGTTTACACAAACTACATTTTTAAAATGGTGTTAATGAGTGTAAATTGTATTTATATATTTATGTTGTTGGCTATAGCAGTTTTACCAATACAGATATATGACGTTAGTTTTGACAAAATAAAGTTTTTTTCGAGTTGTGTTTATAATTTTTACGAATGTAAAAGTTGTTAAATACATAGTTGTATATAAGATGGAAGAGTGAGGAGTAAGAAAAAATAACGAGTTATAGAGAATTATCCAGGAATAAAATATATTGGGTACTATCAAGAGTCGAAGATTACAATGGGCTAGACAGTAGACACGGTGGCGAAGTCATCCAACATTTTTATAAACGATTATGGAAGATAATCCACAAGAAAAAATACTGTTTGGAAGTTCCCGTTTGAGACAAAAAAGATAATATTAAAACATGATATAAAATTACTGAATAAAGGGAAAGGCTTGGAGACACAAGTGACTGATAGGGAAAACTGGAATTATGGATATGTAACGGTATGGTCTTAATTCTCGATAGACAACAAAAAAAAAAAAAATATTTTTACATAAATGGTAAGTATTACTAATTGGTAATGTAAATATATGAATGGTCAGTTTTTATTTATTTTTTCAAGTTTATGTTATCAAATTTAATGATAAAATATCAACGATTGCAGTGATTATAATTTTCATATTATTGTTTAAATTGATTTTTCAAGTTAAAATCATATTCTTACCAGTGGTTAAATTGAAAAATAGTAAAAAATAAGCGCAATGTTTGTTTTTATAGGCTTATTAACTTATAAATAATAAAGACAACATTTGGAAAGAATAATAAAAAAAGAAAAAGAAAAGCTACTATTTCTTATTTATCTATGAAGTAGAAACAGTAATAATATAATAGTTTCTAAAGCATATTTTTATTTAAATTAAATTTCTTTATTCTTGTAACTACTGATTTGCTAACTATGTGTTTACGATAATAAGATCAGTTTTTGAAATAAACCAATCTATTATTATAGTTATTGACAATATGTAAATCACTTTTCTTATTAAAAAAACATATCTATCTATTGAATTTTTATAATTTGACACAATATTATGTTATTTTACAGACTATCTACAATATTTTGATAGTCCATGAATGTATTTATTATTTTAAAATGTATAAAATATGATTTATGAAGATAAATATTAAATGTATAACTACAAAATAAACCAAATAAATTAAATCAGATTTTTTCAACCTTATGAATTTATATATCAGCATTAATTTAAGTTAAATAAATTTAGTATGAAAAGAAGTAAATTTAAATATTTTGTTATTATTATTGATCTATTAATATTTATGTTATTTTATGGATAATATGAAATATTATTGTTGTAAAAATAAATATTTTGAAAATGATTGGATTTATAGATGTACGTTTTAAATTATTTAAATGTAATATCATACGTGTTTCTAATATAGCTGAAGCATCATCTCCACCAATTTTTACAGAATATAAACCATCGATCATCAATCCAACCCTAGGATTTCTTCGGATATAATTCAATGCCACATTCAGAGTCTCTTCAGCTACTTCATTAGTTCGATCATTGATAAAGACTATTGGAATCCCCAAATTATTTAATATTTTATAGTTTAAATAACAAAACATATATTTTTTTTATATTAAAAATTTTATTAACTTACGGATATTGACTGTCTGTAAATTTTGTGACAAACCTATGTTAAATAGATTATTAATCAATAATAAAATTGTTATTCCTTGCACTGGTTTATACATGGTTAACATCTTACTACAATTCTGAACTGAATTATTTTTTATTTCGTTAATTCATAAAAAAACCTTTTTTTTCAAGAACCATTGTTAACAGTCACCAAGGGATACGTTGGTCAAAACACTATTAAACTTGAATGAATGCTTGTTTGGTAAAAACAAATCAAATTAAAAATTTCATTTATATATTTTAATACAACTATTTTTTTTACATATAATACTAAGAAAATATAGAATTATAAACAGGCTCTAGAAAAAGGATTAATTTAAACTAAGTATATTAAAAAAAAAAAAAAAAACCGAATAATTTTATTTGATTAGTTAATCAAAACATTGGGAATATATAAGTATTTATAATTACAATAATAATCAAAATGGAGTTTTTTTAGTTAATAATGTATTAAATAATTAACATGTTATTAAACTATATATTTAGTTTTGAAAGAATAATAAGAAGAATATTAATATTATAAAACTAATAACTATCATTAATAATTTTGATTTTACTACATTTTGTGAAGTCTGTATTAATTTAATTATACAACTAAGAAACTTATACTATTGTAATTTATGAATAATTAAAAACAAAATAAAAATTATACTACTTTTGACAGTTGACGTATATCATTGTTATGTTAATATTTACATTTGATAATAGTTATAATTAATTAAATTTTAAAACAAAAGAATTTACATACAAAATTTATAATTCATTGTTATTTTTTCAACCATTTGTATAGTAAGTAAGAATTTAAAATTAAATTATTGAGTATACATAGTAGCTATATAATATTATATAAAATATTTAATACGATATTATGTGTATCGTATTTTATTTGAATTGAAGTATTATGATGTATTATATTATTTGCTGATTGATAGTTTTGATATTGTTAAAGTTAAATAACTACACTTAATTAGACATAAGACACGTTATTAAATAACATTTTCTTTGCAATCACTTTTATTTTAACTCATGTTAGTTAGTTTACTTATTTATGAATTACAACAAAATATAATTAATATGTATGCTTATATATATTTACAATTATAAATGTACGTTTGTTTTGAATAAAATAATAATAACTAAAATAAATGTTTAGTAAACTCATCGAGAAAAGCGCCACAACGCGTTGTGCTGATGCCATAGCAACCATTTTCTGTTTGTGTGTGGTACACGACCGAGATGCTAGAGGTCTGCGTCAGCTTCACCTGTCAGTCTTTTCGGAGTGTTTTGCCCAAAATGACCTAAAAGTCAAGAGGACAGTAACTTGTACATTTGATTTATTAATTACGTATCGGTAAGTTTATTTATTTATTTATTAATAGATTTAAAATGAGTTAATACTTAAAAATATATTATTCAATATTTGAACAATATAATAGATACAGATTTAAAATATATTTATTTCATTTGAGTTTAATTAATTTAATTTTTTTTTTATCTTAATATTATTAACTAATTATTATAGAATGATAAAAATAAAATATAAGCGTAGGTAGTATTAAATTTTTTATGAACTAAATGTATAAATATTATCTTAATATCGATCATTTAAATAATTTTATGGTCTATAATTGTAATTTTTCTTATTTTATAAGAATTTTAATTTTAATTTTAAAATTTTAAATCAATATAAATCAATTTAATTTATATATTATACATATCACATATTTAACTTTTATTTCAGTTGTGTAAATTCACTTAAAGAATTTTTCTAAATTTTAAGAAATAAGGATTATTCTGAAGACATTGCTTAAAAATTGTGTATAATTTAAAAATTCTGTATTGCTTCTATACACATGCAAATAATACATTAATTGAAAATCATAATTTTTAAACAGTAGGTAAGTTAAATTAGTTAAATTGATTTTTTTTTTAAATAAGTTAAAAATTGTTGTTTTTTGTACGTTTTCGTAAAATACACAGCTATATTCCAAAAATAACTTGTTTAAATTAATTATTTTTATGATATTATTAGGTAGATATTCATTTATTAATTCTGGATATAGTATACATTTATTATGATAAAAAGATAACAAATGATCTTGAAAATATTTTTGTGTTTTTATCATTTATAATTGTACAGATAGTATATTTATTAGTATGTGGTTAAATGCTTCAAAAAAATTTTGATTTTCCGAGTAAAAAAAACTGTATTTATCTGAGATTGGACTAAATTATAATAAATTAAATTTTAACGAATAAGGTATTCTATGGAGTTCATGTATATCTATAAACATAATTTGTATTTATTGAATATGATAATAACTCTTGTAAAATGTAATTAAATAAGTAAGATTAGTATCAGTAAAGTAATATAATGTGATTAATCTACATCAGTCATATTTTATCATATATCAAAAATTCATATTTTATGAATATTTCAAATAAACTATTGAACTTTGGTTTTAAATTTTAGACTTTAATAAGTATTTATGGTGATGATAATATTTTATTTTTTAGTTGCTGTTTATTATAAACCAAAAAATATTATATTTATATCGGAAATATGGTTATAAGTGATTTTATGCTTATGGAATATTTATTTTTATTTTTATGGATTCTGTTAATCAATTTTGGCAGATATTTAAAAATTTTAATATTAAAAATATAAATAATTTAGGACATTTAAATTAATATACATTTTTTAAGTATAATTTTGTATAATTTTTATAATATAAACATTACATAAATGTACAAATTAAAAGAAACTATAACGTTTAATAAATAAAAAATATATTTTTATACCTCAAAAGATTTAATATTTTTGATTTTAAAAGTTTTTTTTATCTGAATAATCATATGAAATTAATTTTACATGGTTTTATTCTTTAATATTTGTACTTACTTAATTTAAAATTAAGTTTTATATTTAAAAAGGAAAATAAATATTTGCAATTAAACAAATGATGAGAATTTTATTTTAATTACATTTTTTTAGGATCGTAAAAATACCCTTAATATTTTGTTTAGGTTTTTTTTTTTGTCAAACTATAGTAAATATAATTATGTAGTTTTTAACTTGAATTCAATTCACTGTATTTTGTTTTATTAAAAATGATCTTATGGTACCATATATAGCTCATTTATCATTTTTATGACGTAAAATGTTGAAGCTATGCACTAATGCACACTTTCAACTTATAGTCATAATAAATTTACAATAAAAGTGACTGCAGGTTAATATAAATATAATTAATAGAAATATTTTTGGATAATCATAAATATTAATATAATTTATAAAATTCTAAAAAAAATTTTTTTAAATATTATAATAAATATAAAACCTCTCACTATACCGTGTGCTTTATGTTTACTTTGAAGTATGATTTTTTTAATAATATACATTAGATTTAGTTAAAATACAAAATATATTAATTTTATATGCACCATAAATATAAAAATAATAAGTTTGCGCATTTTAAATTAATTTTTAGACACTTTATAATAATGAAAAAAAAATATTGTTATTAGTTTATAATTTATTACTTATAAGAAGAAAAAATCTGTCTGGCATATAACTGAAAACAATTTGAAAAAATAAATGATATTGTTTACGGTAAAATCAAATGCATAAGTAATATACTCAAACAGTCTGTTTGAGTTTAAATTCTGTGTAGCATAATCTTCAAAATATACAATAACCTACAGAATTTTGCAATGTAGATACGAAATATTTTGTATTTGTAATTCTCCGCACCTAACATAATAACATAACCGTAACTATTACACCTTGATGTGTTTTACTAATAACTATACGTTAAACTCAGATTATATCTTATGACTGTCACAAGTCCCAAAACTTAATAATAATACAGCTGTATGTAATTTACATCAAAGTAAAAGTATATTGACTGAAATTGATTAAATGTAATTTTAATTAGCATCAAAATAAAGATACATAATTTATGTAACGCATAGATGAGTAGTATCTACTTGAAATTATTATTTGTATAAAAAGTAAAGTCGATTTATCGTAGGTCTGACTTTTCTACCTAATTCATTAGTAGTTGGACATATAATTAACAACTGTATATTTTCCGATGATCTGTCGTAAAAACTGAATAACTAATATTGTATCAAACTACCACGGCTTTGTGTTTCTACATTATAAAAAATATAATAAAATCCTGAAAAGTGAAAAGTAATTTGTTGAAAAGATATTTATTATTTTTAAATATGGGAAATATGAAATTATATCTAAAATTTATGTCGGTATAAATAATGAGAAAGAGGTACATGGTTCCTCGAAAATTATTATGCGATCATATTGAACAATTTATTTTTACTTTTTAGGTAGCTTTTTATACTTAAAAATTCTGAAACTAAATATTTATATGTAAATATAATTAAAAACATAGATCTTAAATGATATTTTTTCAACGAGTTTTAATAAAATTAATCCTCGATCTCATTCAACATTATTTTTTTTATCAAACTTATAAATTTATTATACTTAAATCGAGTAAAAACAAAGTTTATTAAATTAAATTTGCTATGAATAAAATAAAAACAAATTAGCCATTTGGCGACCTTCTTATGATCATTAATAATAACATTTTATGAAATATAAAATAATTATAATACTCTAAAACTTGAATATGTGAAATAAATATTATTTTAAACAATGTTCATTATTTATTATTTAATAAGAATTTAATGCTGAAAATAAAGTTTTAAAATTCTTAATTTATTTTTCAGAGGAAATGTTGACATAGATATTTTTATTTAAAACTGATAAAAAAAAAAATTTAAAAGGATATACGGGATGGATGGTTCAAAATACAGTGTGTATAGAATACCTACAGATAAGTAATATGATGTATTACAATACTTTTATTTCGTATGTATATTACTTAAATACACATGTATTGATTGGTATAATAATTTGTATCTAATTAAGTTATCACTCAAGAATATTTGTGACAATAACAATGACACGAACAGTACTAAAACTTTGCAGATTCTAGGTGATTAATTTAACTTAACACTCATTCTTAAAAAAAAAAATTAATATTTAAAAAAAACAATTTTTATATTTTTTAAGCCGTTAAGTAAAACATTTTTATAAAAAATATTTTTTATATTTATAGTTTTTTAATAGTAATATGTATTTTTAATTTTTTATTATAAAGCAGAATAATTTTTTTAGTACTTTTATACATAAAAATTCAATTTTGGATTAGTATTTTATGAGTTACAAATATTTAAAGTTTTTAAATGAGTGGGAATGGAGTAAAAGGTAGAGCTACACCGCAAAACGTTGGTCCACTAATCCACTATCGTCTAAATTTTAAATAATTTTAATTAATAAACTACTTATCTGAAATTTGATTTATGTAGATTAAAAAACTGCGAGTAACATATTCTACTTCAGATATATGAAATTAACAAAGTATGATGTTACTCAAAAGAGTAAAATACTTAAAAGTTGGTAAAAAATGTTAATGTTTACTGAAATAATAAGTATCTTACGTTAAATTGACCACTTTGTTTAAATATACAGAAACCATAAGTGAAATTTGGGACATTGTCAGATTATATTTAATTCGGAGAATAAAAATATCGTAAGAAATAACTCACGTCATGTTTACCATAGAAGGCCATTGTGGTATATGAATAGAGCGGATTTGGTAAATTGAGTTCTATTTTATCATTTTTTGGTAAACTGAGTCCCACCTGAAAAAAAAAAAACGGTAAATTAAGTCATGTCTAAAATATTTACTGTTGTAAATTAATAATATTAATAATTAAATAATACTATAAAATATATTATCAATAATAATAGTAAAACAAGTAAATAATGTCAAGTTTTAAATAAATAATAATTATAATAAGTAATGTGGTCAGTAATAACTAATAAATAATAGTTAATATATAGTCAACAATAAATAATATTGTTAATAATAAATAATACTCTTTAAAGTAAACGGATAAATATTTAAATGATACGAGCTTAATATAGTCAATTCTACTACTTATTTTATTATTCTTGTACTTCATAATTTGTTCTCTTAATGTATTCTATTTTTTATAGTGTATTTCGATATTATACTTAACTGAAATTCTTCAAATACAATAAAATATTATGTATCTTATTATTATATCGTTTTATCTTTATATCTCGCTTCGTGTGTAACCAGCTTAATGTACGACATTTATATAACAATTCATTAAAACGTATACCGCCTGAAATGGCGCAGTGTACCAATAACTCTGCAGGGTTTATATAAAAAAAAAAAAAATTTATATTATTAAAAGTGTGCTTAATAAAAAGGACAGAGTTTGATCATGATTCAAATAGGACTCAATTTCCTGCTTTAATTCTTATACGAAGGACTCAATTTACCAATTTTGAAAAACGATAAATTCATTTGGAACTTGATTTACCTACGCCTGAATAGAGTAGGGATCATTTTAGATGAGAATCTATGTAGTTTGCATGAGCATCTTCACTCACAAGTTGGTATTAGAATTGATTACGAAATACATTATTTAATTAATTAATTTTCAAACGTAATAATTATTTCAATTTTGAGAGTAAGTCACATCAATTGAACGATTGTTAGTATTGGTACGTGAGAAAGCTATCAATTTATACGGTATTGGACACTTTCGACTTTTAGACAGGTACTTTGTTAAACTGTATCTTTGGATCCAAAGAGTTTAGAACTCGTTTTTATATGGGTATAGATAGGGGTGAATTCTAACCTTAGATTTACATGGATACTGGTATATTTACAATATGTTCGGTACAATAAATTTATATAGCTATCGCGGAACGATGCATGTTAATTAGCAACAGACCAAATACATGTATCGACTAATATTCTTAACAAATTTTAATATTTTCAAATTAAAATTCAATACACGTATTTATGAGTTGATATGTTAGTTAAATATCTTTATTTTCGTGTAAACTATATATTATTTTATTTAGATAAAATTATAGGCTTTCGATAATGTGTGTAAGTATACAAGTTGACTCACCAACCATATTCACTTACCGAGATGGTGTTTTTTTTTTTTTAATTTAAATTATTCTAATTTTTATTTTGGAAATTTTTAAATATAATAAAAAAACTATATTTTTAATTGTTTCTAAGTTTTTGTACTTCTTAAGGAACGTGCTTCTGTTTTTTTAAATGAAGGTTTATTATAAATTATTTGGAATATAATTTTTTTTGAAAATGTTAATGTATGGTACAAAAATTGTGTAATAGCAAATTCGAACGAGTAAATTTCAGTTATCAAAATGTTTATATTAAAAATAATATAGTCTTAAAAATGGTTTCACAAAAATATAAAATAAATTAAATATTGTATCTAGTATGGATTATATTTGGAACAATTAAAAAAATCATAAATATTGATAGACTAATATCAATTATTAAAATATTCAAGTGGCCATTGGTCCCATACTTTCCAAACCTATTATCTTTAATAAATAAGTTAAATAAATCAAGAATTACTCGTTCAAAATTTTAATTTTAATACAATAAAATATTTGCTTAATAATTTACAGTAGAAAAGAGGTATTCAGTGGGTTCTCGTTTAAAAAAAATGAAAGTTCGTATCACAAACACTCCTTAAGTAGTACAAAAAAATCTTGAGAATTTAAAAATATTATTTTTAACTGATAAATATATTAAAAAAAATTAAAAATCAGCTTTTAAATAACTGTTATATTGAAAAAAAGGTTACGCTAATGTTTGTTGAAACGTGTACATCAATTGCGGCGAAAATTACGAGGAAAAAAATAATATGGGATTTCCAAAAAGATTACACATAAATTTTGTCGAACGATATTAAAGTACGTCTCGGCATATCAATTGCGCCAGCACCGCAGATGGTATATACTTTATAGGTTTTTATTACATTTACATGCGATAAAATAAGAAATTGATCACGGCGGCGTGATATCCAACCGAAAGAAAAACATCAGATTTCACAAAAATCATTTTACTTTTTTCCAAACGATCAGTATACGGAACGTGGTTCCGTAGTTCGCACGATAACCGTCCAGTAAAATACGGAATATCGAAAAAATCGTTAACTCGTTTCCTGCAACACTCTATTATCATAATACTATTATCTACAGTATGTGAATCGTGAATATTTTCCATTTGCTTGGGTTTACATTCGCGACACGTCCGCGACTTTTCGTTTGATATTTTCCCGGCGTGATCGATTATGCAATAATGGTACGCATATCATTTTTCCGCTCGCGATCACGCCAGCTCTGTCCGGCGCGCAAAAGACACGCGTTAAGTACCGCCTATTGTGCAAATATATTCAGATAGCTTGGACGAAAATAACCGCAATATTCAGCGCAAACGATGAACACCTGATAATACGACGACTTTAATATAATGCATTGTTCTGTTGTGTGCAGGAAGTGCAGAGACGGTATCGTAGTGCGCAACATCCGCACAGTCGTGGACTGTCACGCGGGCGTGTAAGGCCAGCATCGCGACATGGACCATCTCAAGTCCAACAACCAGTTTGACGATTTGCCGCACAAATGGGTGGCCGTAGTGGCCGACTACCTGCGGGGCTTCCGGAACGACACGACCGACTTCAACCGTCCGCAGCTCCGTTCGTCCGTCCGGCACACATATCCGGCGTTCGTGTGCGGCTACAGCGCGCTCATCATGGCCGGCGCGCTGTGCAACGCCTACGTGCTGGCCATTGTGGCCAGAAAGCGGCTGTACGCGGCCGATCCGGTGTACGTTTACGTGGCCAACCTGGCCGTCACGGGCATCGTCGAGTGCGTTTCCGTGCTGCCCATATCGCTGATGGTGTTGCTGGTCCAAAACTGGATATTCGGACGGTTCCTGTGTTTCTTCCTGCCAATGCTCCAGGTAAGGTCCTTTTATACGGTTGTTGATATCCGGCCGACGTATATTGCGATATAATAATATCGAGTCATACACCTAACCTAGCGCGGTACAACGCACACGTGTTCGTCGAACATTGCTCACCTGTACCGTTCTGCTAGGATTTGTCCCGATTCTACGTCTGTTATTAGTTTTCTACATTCGAACGCTTTAATACACCCCCCTGTATTGAAATACTACGATTTCATAATGATATGATGTCATGGCGTTTAGAAAGTGTTTATACTATATGGTGTCGTGACGGTTTTTGAATTATATAATGATCGACATAAATATATTACCATATTATTATTATATTATATAGAAATTGTTCGATTGATTGTTGGGACTCATTTACTCGAATAAATATTACATCCATCATTTCATTGTTTAACCGTTGACCATATTCATCATTAACTATTATCCTTAGTACGTAATTGTATTGTAATAATTTAAACAACTATTTGCTCAAATTTCGTTTTAAGTAAATCAACATATTTTCAAATGAATCATATTTTCTTTAACGATTTATCAATTTACCGAAGGGTTGTTATCATTTGAAAAATATATTATTTACTTATTATCTATAAAATATCATTATCGTCATTAAAAAGTTTTTTTAAGCTTATAGTTTAATTACAATTAGAATTTAAGCTTTTTCAAATTTAAATCTTATTAAAAACAAAATCCTATTATATTGTGATATAATTTCCAAAACTTAAATAGTGTTTCTTAATATAGGTTTTTATTAAACTCTAATATATTAGCTTAAACTATCAAATAATAGAATGATTTGTATTTATTTTTAGATTTTGAACGGAGTGATAAATGTATTGATTTTACAATGATGTGTTTTTTTTTTTTGTGTCTGTGTACAGCATAAGTAGTCGAAATAATGCTTCAATTTAAAACTTCGGGGGTGTTTCCGATGGAAAAGTGAATATCCTTGGTGCATTATAGAGGTAAAAAGTAGATATTTTCCAACAATTTTCAAAAAAATTGAGAAAAACAAAAAAAAAAATGACGGAATAACGGCAATTTTTACGCGAAACCAGTTTTTGACCAAATCGGTTTTATTATATGGTTGTAATTCAAAAACTAATAACTGTAAATACTTGAAATTTTCACCAAATTTTTATGTTGGTGTTATCTATATACAGTTTAATTTTTAAAAAATGTTGACTTTTTTGAGTTATTTACAGACCACTGAAATTATCGATTTTTATGAGAATTTTTTTTTGAAGTGTCAATAAAAAAATGTTGGATTACCAAAAAATTTTGAAAATTTAATACAAGGTTTCTTATAAGTTGTTCTTATTGTAGCTAAAAAAATTAAAAATCGTTAGTCACAGTTTTGTTTTTTAAACGTTTATAGTTAAAATATTAACGAAATCTATCGAAAACGCGAAAATTTGTAAGTAATTTTGAAGTTGAAAAATCATAAAATTTTTTGTGTTTATAACTAAGGATTAAAAATACTACACTATGTTTTCCCTAAGTTTTCCTTCAAGTAGCTATAGAAAAAACTCGAAGCATCATTATAGGAAAAATTTTAAGTGCGTTTGAATTTTAAATTTTTATGAAATAGCGTAACGATAACAATTTATCCTCGAACGATTTTAAATATTTGTTAATATTCAAAAAGTATCAAGTCATAGGATACTTGAAAATTTTACCAGTTATTTAGATTGGCATTTTCTTTACATGATTTAATTTTCAAAATATTTTGACTTTTTTTGAGCTATTTATAGACAACTAAAATTTTAAACTTTTCTGAAATTTTTTTTTGAAGTGTCGATAAAATTTTTTTGGCCCAATCAAAATACTTGAAAATTTAATACAAAGTTCTTCATAAATTATTCTTATAGTGATCAAAAATTTAATATATGCACAATTTTTTTTTTATTAGCATTTGAAGTTCAAATATTGACAAAAATTCGTCAAAACCATGAATATTTGTAAATTATTTTGTAGGTATAATTCATAAGCATTAATAATTAATTGATTGATTAACCATGACTTTTGCAAATGCGTCCTAATTGAAAAATAAAATATTTGTTTTAAAATAGAATGTATGACAATATTTAAATATAATATATCCTAGACTGATAAATCATCTCCGTTCAGAAACGTTTTTCGTAAACAATGATACCTATCATTGCATTCAAATTTAACCTACCCTAGTCTGAGGTTCACCTGACCCCCCAATGTATAGCATTAGGGTAGCATTAGTACCCACTTGCCCGCTTTTTTCCATTAAATCGTTAAAATATTATGTCAATGCCTTAATTAATTAATAGATATCGAATAAAACTTTTAACGCTGCATCCTCCAAGGTTCTAACCTATTTTTGGTTTACTCGTAATTGTGAAAAAATGTGCACTGGCTACCGGTACCCTTGTCAGTCAATTACTCAACGAAGGCATGGTTGAGAACTGTATGTACCAACGTAACATAATGATTAATTATTAAAATCAGTAAATGTTCTTCGTGTCAACGAAGACATTGACGAATTGTCGATCTGTCTATTTCCACTCAGAAAAATGTTCCACACTATTGTAAAAAAGCTGACAAAAACATCAAAATTCGATTTCCTCTCATCGACAGTGAAACTAAATTATAAAACACAACTATAATAACATTTTTACAATTCTATTTTGAGGCGTATAACTTATTCACTGTTTGTCTGTTTACAAATATCTTTTGTCAAATATTCATGTTAAGCCACATCCATTTATATTATTATTTTACGAGAAATGGGTTTGTTCTATTTTTGAATTTAAAATTTACATGATTTTTAGTTATTAATATACACTCAGAGATACGTTGTAAATAATGAATCCTTTAGCTTTAACTGTTTATCAAAAATGAGTAATCTTATTTTGAAAATTTTATTATTATTCATTAAAAATATACATGTATTTAAATTTTAATTATTTAAAACAATAATGATATTTTTATGATACCTACTTTAAAGTTCTTTTGTGATAATTTAAATTTTTACAAATTAGATATTTGACACAAAAAATACACATTATGCACGGAATTAAATACAATTTATTATATATATATTAAAATAAGAGTTAGAATGGTAATTTATTTATGTTAAGAATATTAAAATAAATTTATTATTACCAAAATATAAAACTAAAAGATGAAATTAAAATATGTTTTTCCCATGAGAAATTCTATTAATTTAATTTATATTCGTTCGTAAATTTACTATAGTTCTAACTTCTAACTTTTAAATCGTAAACTTTTTTTTTTTAAGTAAGCATAATATTATTATATTATTTAGATATTTTTTATTTCTTTTTTTAAATAAACATGCAACTTAATTTTGTTTAAAAAACTAAGAATTGGTCGTATTCAAATAAAATGTTATTCGTCACTATGGAAAATATGATTATTATAAAATTACACTATCTAAATATCTACATTTTTTTTTAAATCTGTATAATTCCTTAAACATTGAAATATTAGAATATTTATTAGTAAGTAGGTATTATTATGATGAAGCAATTCGTAAAAATTAAATATTTTTGCAGCCTAATATTTATGATCAATTTAAAATCCTTAAAAACATAAATTCTATTAACCGAACAAGAATAAATAAACTGATATAAAATAAATTTAACATTAGATTCAACATAATCTAAATAATACTTATTTGAATTTTAACACTAATTTAATTTTAATTTAGCAAAAGTTCAAATTAACTCATGACTTTTAAGTTTAATTAATAGAATAAATAATATAACCTATCATGGTATTATACCTAGTATATTTTAATACAGCTAAATAGATAATACAAATATAGTGTAAATACAAGAGGTTAGTAGTTACACAATAAAAATTACAAATAAAATTATGACTGTATTTCGCAAAATGCTTTTTTTAAGTTTTTTAATGGCCTATAACTAATTTGTCCGCATATATTTTTCGCTCTGAATGAAATTCATCATAATATTATATTTGATACCTATTGTTTGCTCCAAATAGAAATGTTAAATAGTTTAAATGATATGCATGACGCATGTACGTATAAAATATGAGACAGTTTTTAACACAAATATTTTAAAAATATCATATCACGTATTATACGTTCGAGTGCATTTTATAAATTTAACTTTAAAATAGATAGACCATTTTTTGTAAATAATCTAGATATCAATAAATATATTTTAATAATCATTAAGTAGCATAATAAAACACTTTATTGTTCAGATATTTACCTTTATAATGGTTTGGTAATCTTAATGTTCGTTGTTATATCAATAACGTTCAGAAGGCTCAGTATGAAAGTATGATACATCAGACATTACGAAAATATGTGTATCTGTCATTGGCTTATAAGATATAGACAAATCGATAGTAATGTACAAAATTATTTATAATTTATGTATGTTATAGATACTTGATAAAAATTATCTTACGGCGGGTTCGCCTTGGTTTTACTATAGGTTTATTCCAATTTTTCTTCATAATAATATTAATATAATTATAAAAATAAGAAATCAATAAAATCTAATTTATTAACTATTTAAAATAGGTGTATGAAATTGTTTATTCCTTCAAAAAAATAGTGAATAATAATAGTGGCTATGTATCTTACCTCAACGTGTTGACCTGTTCATTGGAAAACGGTGGCACATGTTTTCGGATCGGAGACAATAAATATTTGTTTTGCAACCACAAAACACTTAAAGTATAACGCAATGTTATGCAATCGAACGATGATAAAAAAAAAACAGTAGGTCATAGTCTTATAGTTTGAGATTTGAGACCGGAAATTCCTCACGAATTCCGACATAGAAAACGAAAATAAAAGCATAAAGACGACACACATTCGGCAATCAGATGGTGTAGACAGACGAGAAGAGAACAGCCGCGATGATCGTTTCATAAGATTTTTTGATGAAAAATATCGAGTTACCCGCTTGCTAGAAATATGCCATAAACAATAGTAGATATGGTTGGCGGTC